GTCCCAAAAAGATTTACACGTTTTGACTAAAGTTGAAATTAAGGGAGAGATAATTTTGTGTTGACTTTCCAAAAATACCCTTGATGTGATGGGTAAAAGTATGATGTGATGTGTAGATTATTAGGAAAAAGGTATGATGTGATAGGTAGGGTTTGAAAAAGTAAGGGGTAAAAGTGGTTTTTTAATAGAAATGGGTAGGAGATTGTGGGACGTAATTTTTTTGAAAAGTGTAAAACTTTTTTGGACGGAGGGAGTAATTCTTTGTATGCAATGGACACCGAATAACCTTTTCTGAAGATAAGATTGCTTAATCACCACACAATTGGAGGGGGCGAAGGATGTGATTTACGCACTAGGAGTAGGAATTATTAATTTTGCGAATTGAGCCGTGAGAGCATCATAGACGCTCCAAAAAGGTAATGGCATTGCCATTGGTACCGATGCTTGGTGGCCACAGAACTAGCCCCGTTAATTAGATAAATATATATTTGGGAAAACTAAAAGATGTGGTACTAGAGAGAGCGATCTTAGCTGTATTTTGATAGGAAGTACTTGTAATTTTTCTCCAAATAAAACAAGTAAATAATACGGAGTATGTTTCACATAATTCTTGAAACAACCCTAGGTGAATCTTTTATACTCTCTCTCTTTCGAAAAATAATATGCATAAATTAATAATCAACAAATATGATATAATAGATTGTGTAAGGGTAAGGATAAAATACATTTTTTCAAAGAATATAAAAGTGTTCTATGAAAAGGGTAAAAAGTGAAAGTGAAATAAATTTACAAAACGTATAGGTAGAGGATATCTTAGCATCAATAAATTTAAATGTTTGATGCGAATTTAAAATGTGAATACTACGTAGTATATTTCATTTTGCTAGTTTCAAAATTTAAATTATGTATATATTGATCATAATGCAATTATAAATTTAATTCAAATAAAATGAATTTAAAATTAATTATATATTTTTAATTTATATACCAATCACTAATAAACAAAATGAAGTTAAAAACTTAAAATTTCGCTTCGTTTTCCGTTAAATATAAAAACATTTTGGACGTAGGAAATATTTTATTTGAAATTTAAGCAAAAGAGAGAATTTAATTGAATCGCCTACCCAATTCATTCATTAAAATTAATAAGTTTAGCTTGGGCAACCAAATAAAAAAGTGAGAAATGTACTTTGATGCCAAGAATATACTAACAAAGCATTAATTTTAAATACAAGCTATGAGAGTCATACACTCATACCCCCATACAGGTGATAATGTCTCCGTCCGTGAGTATTTATCCATTTTTGACTTTTTCGATCAAAGTTAGTAAACTTTGACCTCAAACTAAATAAAAATGATATAAGATATTGACACAAATTTAGTTTTATTAGATTTATTATATCAAATATTTTTAAAATATTATTTTATCGAATTAATATACAATATATATTTTATTTAATTAAAAGTCAAATGTTGAAAACAGTTGAACGAAAAAAAGTCAAAACTGGACAAATACTCGGGGACGGAGATAGTATAATTTAAGGATAAATTTCATGGTAATCTCCTATTCAACCAAAAGCCTCTACGGCCATTGCATCCATATCACATGTAGTAACAAGTGGGAGTGTCATATAAATGTGCGGTCACACGTTACGTAAAAAGTCATACTACCTCCTCCGTCTCAAAAATATTTACGCATTTTGACTAAAGTTGAAATTAAGGAAGAGATATTTTGGTGTTAACTTTCTAAAAATATCCTTGATGTGATGGGTAAAATTAAAGTAGGATGTGATGTGTAGATTGTTAGAAAAAAGATATGATGTGATAGGTAGGGTTTGAAAAAGTAAGGGGTAAAAGTGGTTTTTTAATAGAAATGGATAGGAGATTGTGAGACGCAATTTTTTTTAAATGTGTAAATACTTTTTGGGACGGTGGGAGTATATAATTGTTATAAATGAGCATTGGCACTGTACAATGTTCATTTGATTAAACCATACCATGCATGCATATATTTCTTGGTGGATCGGTTAAACTCAATGGCCTTTTCCTGTGATAAAATCCAACCAGTCTTGTCTGGTTACAAAAGATGAAACAAGCTAGGTTACTAGGTTTTATGTTTGTTGATGAGGCATAGCTTGCATGGTCTATTCATCCCTCCTTAAGACTACGTGTTACGAGTGTTTGGCGGGACTTGATGGTGTGTAAGGAGGATTATATGAAGTGATTAAAACATACTACCTCCGTCCCACTGTCTTTGTCCACTTTTGATTTTTGGAACTGTTCATCTACACACTTTGACTCATCAAATTCTCTCAATGTGTAAGCCTAAATATAGTGATGTGCAATCTTGTTTAATTTGTCTTAACATATAGATTATTAATATATAATTTCTATAATTTTTTAATATACAAATTACAAGATAAAATAGACTAAAAAAGTGCATTGAATGGTGTGCCAAAAGGTAAGTGGACAAAAACAGTGGGACGGAGGGAGTATGTATAATAATACGTGTAAATATGCCCGCCCAATGGGGTGTGCAAGAGGTTCAATTGATAGAATATGTTTTGAATTTTTTTCAATTTTTATTTTACAATTTTCCTAAATTCTAGAATTTTTATACAATCCGTAATTGATTTTGTTCTTCTTTGATTTCAATTTTCCAGTTTTTCTTGAATTCCGAAATATCACTCGTTTGTAGGTCTTTAACAATGTGTCATACCGATTAATTGTTATTTCATCTTTCGTAGGGCACATCTTTAACTACTTTTTATTTTCATTAAAAATAAACACATTTGTTCTTAATTATTTCATTTTTAAGTGTAGGATTTATCACATAGACATTTGCTTTTGGTGTGTGTCTGTCAAGTAGTATATACTAATGGTGTACACCTAACATATTCCCCTTTTCATTATATTTTAGTATGTTTGTACATGTATTGTACCTTCTACTGAACACCAATACGTTAGTGTTAGTACTTTGCTTTATCACAAATTTTGTTTTAACAAAAAAATGAGGCCTAAAGTATTTAATTACACAGAGCCATTTTGAATGACGGGTAGGCCTGTATGTAATTGTGTAAAGTGATGAGTAATGAATGTGTTAAATTTTAATTGCCCGGAATATATATATTCAAAATTGTTAACTTGAATGAGAAAATATGAAAAAACTTATCTTTAAGGTGAAAATCTTATTGAAAGTGATGTGTGCCCTCCGTCCAATTTAAGTCATACACTTTTTCAAGATGCACACTTAATTTTTCATGCATACTCAGAATTAGAGGTGGCAATCGGATCAACTTGATCGGTTTCAGATTGGATTTTTTCAGTTCGGATATCTTTCGGTTATATGTTATATATAATCAGTTCGGTTCGGTTCGGATCGGTTAAATTTCGGTTTGGATTTGATTTCGGTTCTATACATTTTACGGTTCGGTTCGGTTCGGATTCGAGTCGGTTCAGATACGGTTCGGTTATAAATCGGTTCGGATAAATTTCGGTTCGGATACAATTTGAGTCGGATATATTTCGGTTTTGGGTCTAGTTCAGTTCAGATATATTTTGGTTTCGGATCAAATATATTTTGGATATATATTATTTTCTAATTAAAATTTAACTATTTGTGTTTCTTTTTATGTTTTATCACATTTATCAATCTATCATCAATTCAATACCTCATATTATTTTATATTTTTTCTAATTATATTATCTCTACCCTAAATAATCTTTCCCTTTTGACTTTTTAGTCATATTTTACAAATTTGGACTACAAATTATGAAAACATATATATTTAATTATGATATAAATTTAATATAATTAAATTGATTTTAAAATTTAGTTTTGAAATAACAATTTTCTCACATCTACTACTCCGTAATATACTTATGTACATAAATGAAAGGATAAAAGATAAATTCAAATAGTCTTATGTTCCATTTAAATACAATGTGGTAAAAATTGAGTAAAATTGGGTGAAATTAAGTTAATTTTATTCAATTGAGGGCAAAATTTGTAAATTATTGAGTATATTTGGTTGAAAATAGAGAAAATTAAATTTTAATAGAGTTAAATATAACTAATTTTACACCTAAATGTAATGGTGTAGATCAAATTTGAAAATGATAACAGCAAAGGCTGCCGCTAGAGAGTCTGTTCAAAATGCTAACACTAGCATCTAATTTTATTGACTAATATTGAGTAAATTGGTTTGAAACTAATCAAATTAACTCTCAAATCAATAAAATTTATTGTAATGAGATGAAATTAGGATAAAATCTAGTTATTCCATACAATTCATCATATATTCCTTTCGTCCCAAAAAGAATATCACACTTCACTATTTAAAAATTATGGAAATTTTATTTGTTTGTGCGTTATCATTTATATGTATAACTTATCTTTAATTTCTACATATAACAAATTTAAGGCATAAAATTTTGTACTTTTTTCAAGAAGATAATCAATTTTATGAGGGAATGAGCAAGTAATGTAATTAGTTTAAATGGTAAAATAAAAGTAAAAATTTAAAAATATAATATGCTTAACATAGTTTTGAATTTATCGATTTTAGTTCTAATCGGGTTCGGACATTATCGGTTTCGGATCTAATCGGTTTCGGATTTTATCAGTTTCGGGTATTATCGGATTCGAATCTAATCGGTTTCGGGTTTAATCAGTTCGAATATTATCGGTTTCAAATCTAATCGGTTTCAGATTTAAATCGGATATGAATTATTTAGTTCGGTTTCGGTTCGATTCGAATCATTTCGAGTTTTCGGTTATAGATCAGATCTTCATTTTTCGGGTCATTCCGGTTTCGGTTTCGGATATTTCGGTTCGGATAATCGATTCCGGTTCTGTTTTGCCAGGTCTACTCAGAATGGGTACTTTATAGAAATTTGGGTCATGGGTTCCCCCATTTGTGAAAAAATTTTCTCACCCAAGATGTGGTGGAGCATAAAGTAAAAAAGAAATTCATAGAACTAAACTTGACATTTAAATGAGAAAGGTCTAAAATTAATTATAATTAACAGTTATACATAGTGAACATAAATTGCTCCCTCCCACAATGGATAATAATACGGAGTATTAAAAAACACATCAGCGGCACTACAACATCAGGGGAGCACCTGCAAAAGGGATGCAAAGCAGTCAACATTTGCCCAAAACTTGAAACAAGAAAGGTACAAACAATCAAAAGGGCCAATTTACCACACACAAGAACTTGGAGAACAAAGTCGCAACGAGTTCAGAAAAGCAGCATGCACATTTACCAGAAACCAAAACGAGAAACAAACTAAAACCAACATTTTAGAAAAGGCAAATTCAACTCACACAAACGAAAAATGTCAAAGTAAAAATAGTATGAATAGAAGAAGGATTTATTTGTTTGCCAGGCTAGCAGTAAATGTAGGGAGAGATTATATCACTTACATTATTGCATTGCAAGTGGATCCATAGCGAGGAGTCATTTGTCGGCTAAAATTCCTATCAGTTCTCCTGGGAGACTGTATCGTTGAATGGAAGGAGGCGTGGAGCAACACAATCATCACTACTTGGCATGCCCCACAATGTTCGAACTCGCACTTCCTGACTTCTTGATGGCTCTTCTTTTCTTTAACTTATTCTTCTTCATTGTACATCGTGTCGCCTCTTCTGGTAAACAATACACTGAAGCGCAAGAACACTCTTTAGTACGACAAATAAAGAACCAGTTCTTGTGTTCTTCAAGTTTGAACTTATGCGTTTATGTTTCATGTGAAGAAGGCATTAACAGCTTTTTACTAATCCGCATTCCCCGTTACTATTGTGACCTTAATCTCAACAAGCCTTGTTGAGGTCAATGCCACTAAATTTATAGTGCCGCTTAATTATATGTAACTAGTTAACACTGTAAATTCATTTAAAAAGCATACGACGAACACTCTTCCTATCGCAACTTCATAGGAAACAGTAATTACATAAAAATTATAAAACCATCATTACTATATGGTATTAAGAGCCAATATTGTTTTTAAAGAACATCCACCACCGTTAAATGGCCTCCTCCGTCGTCTTCTCCTCTCCAACAATCACCAAGGACACTTTGATGCTCCAACTTCATGCCAAAACACGCTTCCCCATAAAACTATACTCCACAAACTTCCCCATATGGAGAAGACAAGTTCATTCCAGCTCATTGGCCTTGATCTCCTAGGCTACATAGACGGCACTCTCACTGCTCCACCAAAATATCTTGGTGACACAGCCAATCAATGCTACTCGATTTTGTTTCGTCAGGATCAAAACATTGTTGGTGCCCTTCTCAGAAGCCCCTCTCCATGGTTGAGACATTTCACACTACCACGAGAGTGGAGATATCTCTACTCCAGCTTTGCTAGCTATAGTTGCAGGCAAGTAGTGCCCTTAAAATAAAAAATGGGCAAAACATCTCGCGGTAATACCATGGTCACCCACTATCTCAATGATATGCAGCCCATTCGATATGAGCTGGCACTCGTTCCAAGTCATCTTTTGCAAGATCTTCTCTGTCACGTACTCAATGAAATTGGAGACAAATTTGATGATTGATGACTTTGTCTCCATCACTCATGTTTGCGGGACCAACATTCCATTTATCAAACTCATGGATGATCTCAATCACAAACGGAAATTGATGGACTCGGATGTGGCTTCTTGCCACAGCAAATTACACCAATTGGATACCCAACAACAACAATGGTCAGTTTTTGAGTCCGGCAACACCAGCCACTAGTCCTGAGACACTCTTAGTGATGATTCTAGAATCTAGAGGACTCCATCAGGGTAGAAACTCCTTACTTTTAAACCTCTTTTTATCCAAGTCTCGTGTGTGTCATTTGAGCTTGTGTTGTCATCATAGACTGTAAAAATCTTATCAATACCCCAATCTCGCAAACACTTGTCAATTGCTTTGCAAATATTCTCACCTTTATGAATATGAATTGGACAAAAGTTGATTATCCTCTTATTCAATTTCCTATTTTCATCAATAAAGTGAGATGTTACAAATATAATTGACATTTTGCAAAGATATCCAACAATCAGTGGTAAGTGACACTAGCACCTTGGAACAATTTTATTAATTTCGTTTGTTAATCCAAGTAAATCCCATAACAATCTCTAGCAACTATCCATCGAGAAGGCATCTTAAATCTAGGAGCAGCAATGGATATGGACTTTTTTTAAAACTCTTTCCCTCAACAAATTTAAATTGAAATTCATCAATGATAATCATTGATACTATACCCTTCCAAAGTGCTTCTCCGCTATACTTTCCAAAAGTTATTGGCGCATTTCCCTCCCCATCAGCTGTTCCATATAGCAAATTAGTTTGATTATGATCCCCTTTCTCACGAGGTAAACTGACACAACTTTTTAAATTGTTTTTCAAAAAGCATGTGCCATTACTTTTAGTATTTGCAGCAAATTCTCTACCACAATGGTCACATCTAGCTTTTTGCAATATAAACTCATCTTTAATAATAGTAAACTTAGTGAAATAATCCTAAACCTCAGATCTTATTAAAGGTGTGTTCCGTTGCTTCCTTTTAAGTCTAGGAGATGAAAATTTTGGCATACTTTCTTTAGTAAGGATACATTCTTGGCTTAATCTTGTTCTTCACCTTGTGAATCATGGGGAGCAATTGACTCCACTCTTGAATTTTGATGTACTCATCATGAATTAACAAAAATAAAAGTAAATCATGACTAGTAAAAAATGAAGATTTAACACTCATATTGCATATTTAAGATACCAATTGGTAATAGTTACAGATTTAATTAGTAAAAAATGAAGATTTAGTAACTGCAGGTTTAACTAGTAAATAAATGCAGATTTAATTAGTAAATAAATGAAGAATTAATTAGTAAAAAAAATGATTTAACACTCAAATTGTAGATTTATGACTCAAATTGCAGAGTCTGTTTCATACACTTTTCCATCAAGAACCAAACTACAACATACTTCAATCCTTTGGCTGCTTGTGCTAATCCGTGGTTACGCTTACACTCCACTACTAAAAATCTCACCCTTGTGTGTTTGTTGGTTACTCAACCACGCACTCTGCATATAATTGTCTTGTCCCCATTGCCAACGTCTATACCTTTCACGTCATGTTAGATTCATTCAGCACACCTTTACTACTACTCCCATCACACGTGCGTTTATCCTCCCCTCTCCCACATTTTTTGCTTGTTCTGCCTCCGTTCTCAACCCCCAACACCCATCTGTCACCCCCCAGAGCTCTTTCGACACCAAGAGCCCCTACGAGGGCCCTTCGCTTCCCCTCCTAAACCCGGAACCCCCGTAGGGCCCCACATGAAGCCAGACTCCCTCCACAACCCCTTCGAAACCTGGAACTCCACTAGAGCTCGGAATCCCCCTGCCCCCTCATCGGGAACTCCTTTGGCATCTCTCTAGAACCCCTTCAAATCTCTGCCACCACCCTTCCACATAACCCTACTGGTGATCTTTCATCACCTCCGGCTTGTAATGATAATGTGTGTCATTGAACCATTGCACCACATCTCATCAACATTGACTAATTCCTAGTCATTGTTCACATTACAACTTCTGTCTAGGTACAGAAAGTAATGGAGTCCTTTAGATACTTAGTTCATGTTAAAATGTTTAACTCCTACTTAGGAGCATTTTCAAAACACTAATAAAAAAGTTGTTCCCAAACGAACACCTAGCATGTTTAACTAGTAGTTAGTGGCATGTAATAACAAGCCTAGTAATTTAACATAACGCTAGAAATGTTAATAAAGAATGATTCCTTCGAAAATTCCAATTAGTATTTTGAAATTAACAAATTTTTCAATATATTGCTAATTTAAAATGTTAATTTATTGAACATCTCAAATAGTAAAGGTCACTCACACATGTTATTTTGAATTAAAACACTAAAAAGCAACATAAGAGTTTATTGGATAGCATAATGTGATTACTAAGTTAGTGTAATTGCTAGGGTAGGATTACAAACTATGTAATTACACGAAGTGTATGGTAATGAGAGTGTGCGTGTAATTACAGTGTTATTATTTTGAGTTTGTTTGGAAAATAGAGTTATAGTGTAATGTTATGCAATGAATTCATTCCAAAATAAACTTCATAATTTGACTTCAATGAGTCAAAGATTTTTTTTTAAAAAAACAATGTCGGATCAAAATTTGTTTAGATAAGAGAGGAAAGTTGTAAGCCACAAGTTTTATCCTTAATAGGAAAAACAGAACTGTGAGGTTTATTTTGGTACAAACAAAAAATGAAAGTGTGAAGATTATTTAGAAATGGAGGGAGCATTTTTATTTTTATAACATTAAAACACATAATTACACCAATTCTGGCATCTCTTCTGTAGAATTTACACCCATTAGAATCAGACTTTGAGGGTGTTTGAGTTTGTGGTAGATTTTGAAGAAACAAAAAATATAACTACAAGCTGGAAACATTTACAGTAGTTAGTTTTAGCTTCTCTGTATTGCACTTCTAGAACTCATTTTATATTGCAGTCTGACAAAACAGAAGTTCATAAGTAGTTTGGAAAATCAACCCCAAACACCATCTTTATAGCTACATGATCAATCAAACCTCACAAAACGCGTAATTTAATGCAAATAAGAAATTAAATCAAATCTCCATGACACACGTTTACCTGGCGAGGACGCATTTTGACGAACACATGGAGGGTGCTCCTCTACGATCTCCGCACCAGAAACTCCAATCTCATCGCTTGCTTCAGGCAACAAAGGGCCGATAATTTTCCGGCGACGGGAAGCCCCTTCCTTGAGCTTCGCTCTGCGAATGCGCTTCCTCTGAGCCCTAGTTAGTTTCCCAGCTTCAAATCCCATGTCCCGATCGCTAGAGGAAGAAGAACTCCTTTCATTCTCAGATTCGTCTGCATTTCACTTCAATCTCGTAATTAGAGAGTCAATACTGCTCAATCAATCAATATTTTCAGGAAAAAAAGGAGCACCTCGAACAATATCCAAGTCGATGATGGAGGGGGCTTCTTCTTCGCTACTTTCCGTCTGAGTTAATAATCCGATCAGAAGTCGAATACTGAGAACAAAGATAATTTAAAAAGAGAAACTTACTGCTGGGTGATCAGGAGGCAACGATGGAGGCGGATAAAGCAATTTTAGCAGGCCTTCATGGAATTTTCTTCGTTTCTCCTCCTTCCTGTTCATCTTTCTCTCACTCATGCATAGATAGGCATATGTTTATCTATGGTGCATGTTAACACCCATGTGGTGTGGTGGCACCCTAGCATTTTCCTAAAAACAAACTGCCCTAAAAATAGAGAGTATGTTAATTTGGGATTATTTCTTTTGTTGTAAAACATTCTTCTCATTTATATTTATGAATTACGATCTGACTTTATTTTTAATTTAATTTATTTGATTGTAAGTGTAAAATTAAAATTTAAAAATTAATTCAAAAGTTCTACAAAACAAGAGAGGATAAGACTATATTATTTTATCAAATAACTAACAAAAATAATAAAGAAAGTGATTAAAGTTTGACCGCGATTAAAATCGGAACTAGATGTAGGCTTTTCTAGTCTAGTAGATATGAGTATTAATTTACCCGTAATTGGATATTTATTTTGCATAAATTTTTATTTAAATTTTACTTTCATCTTTATTTTAATTAAAATAAGTATTGTACCACTCGTAAATTTACATTTTTTTCTAAGTATTATGTAATTTTCAATTGAACATTCATATTTTTTGATAATGTATTCTCTTCGTTTAAATTAATCTTCTCATTTAGTGTTCATGTAGTTTAAGAAAAATGAAATTATTTAGTTGAAATTTATAAAGAGGAGAGAATTTGTATGGACCACATATTCCATTCTTTTAAAAGAACAAGAAATTTATATTGGGAAACCTGCAAAGGAAATTGAGAAGATTAATTCGAGATGTAGGAAATACATTTTTTGAATATATATTACTCGGTTGAAATAAGTAAATGTCTGAAATGAGTACATTGGTTAATCGAATATGAGTATTTGCGCAGATGTACGAAAAATACGGTACTGGATATACTCCTCATGTCTCCAGAAAAGACCCTTCATTTCTTTTTTGGAACGGCTCTGAAAAAGACTTCGCTTTTTAGTTTTGAAAAACAATCGGTGGTATACAATCTTTCTTTCTCTTATGCATCTTTTTCAACCATACATTTTATTTTTTTAAAATTTACGCCAAACAAAACAAATGAACATATTTTGAGATAAGGACTTGTAGCACAATGTACACAGTATTATTAGGGATAAATAAGCTATCTGTAGTGGGGCTTCACCGCGACATGAATGGAGGCGTCACGCCCCATCACTGCATGACTATCGCGTCGTGTCGGAGCGATAGAGGCATGACAATGTGGGCTTCATGGTAGTCACAAACATTGTCCTTCTCTTCTTGGGAGAACTCTTTAGATAAGAGTAAAAAACTATGAAAACACTAAAATAAGAGTCTTGGATCTTTTAAGAACACCAAAACTAGTACAGTTAATTCTAGCTTTTTCTGATTTCTTCTTATTTTTTCCAGTTTTCTAATTCTAGCTTAATTCTTACCATATAATGACTCTAAAAATTACTTTCATATATTATTATTATTATTATTACAACTATATTTTACGGAGTATAAATTATTGAAAATTTTCTATTTTTATTTTTCTCATGTTACTATTTTTTGTAATTCATGCATACTCAGCATTATTTTTTGTTCCATTTTTAATATAAATAAAACGGAGTACAATTTTATTCGTAAAATTCTTTTTTTAAAAAAATTTACATGAGACTAAACTATGATCCAAGAATTATGGATATTTTATTAATCTAAATTGACCTAGAGAAAAACATCAATATTTCAAATGAAAAACTAATAACTATATAGTACTCTCTCTAAATAAATGACATATACACTTTTCACGTGGTCGATTTCTACTAACTTTTTTTACCTATTATGAATATATATAATGACAATAACAATAACAATAACAAAAACAAAAACAAAAACAACAAGACTAACAATTATAATGAGAATACTAGCTATGTAAAATACATTTAGCTATATTTTTGTTAAATTTTTCCAATTTTTTTCACATCTAAGTTTGTTTTCTAGCTTAAAGAACATGTTCTCACTAATGAAAAAGAAGTGACGTAGAACATAGCAAAACAAAAGATACATTTAATTCATTTATGTAACACTAGTTTTTTTACATTACAGAATAACAATTTACAAACCATGGACTTTACAGTATATACACCTCCGGATTCCGGAACAAGTCCAGCTTCCATCACTTTTTTTTATCCCGTTTTCTTTCTCTAACCAAACACGTCCTTAACCTCTTGAGTTTTTTGAATCGGAAGAATTTAGTTCATGTAATTATATATGGCCCGGCGAGTTGAGATTGCACTGATGAATTTCAGGGTTTTAATATCAAAATTTGACACCATATATTTTACAGACATATACAGACAATAACTATCTAGGTAGTTTAGATTATGACTGTTTGTATAATATACGATGTCAAATTTTGGTGTCAAATTTGAAATGTGAAAAGTTTTTATGTGCTATTGCATGCCGCCATTTACGGAGTGTGCGTAGCTCAGTTGGTTGTCCTGATTCTGAAGTTGCCTGAGGAGCAACGCCTGATGAACGCCCAAAAGTCTTTGCCGAAGGGCAGACGATTGGGCTCGAACCAGCTCGTTGTTCCTCTGGGCAGCTATGCAGAGCTGGTTAGAGGAGCGGAGCTGGTTCGTTAGCTTCCGGTTCTCAGCTCGGAGCCGGTTCAGTTCGAGAGTCAGCTCCTCTAGCTGCCTTTGCTTTCTCAACCGCGACCGTCTTGCCGACTCGCGGTTGGAGATCTTGCGCCTCCGCTTCCGCTCGTCCTCCGGCGAGCGGGGCCCGTCGTCGTCTCCGTTCCCGTTCGGGTCATCCGAGCCCGAGCTCGAGAAGCCGGGGTTCGTCTTCGAGTTTTCGGTACTCGAATCGGAATCCGAACCGGAGACCGCTTGAGTTATGTTTTTGGGCACCGGGTCGTGGTGAAGAAGGGGGAAGAGGAAGGACGGAGCGGGCGGTTCCTCCCATTCCCACGGGGACAAATCGGCTTCGAAAACGGGGAATGAGTTGGGGAGGAGAAAGTGATCGGGAGTGACCGGAAAAGTAGACATCATTGCCGGAAAACCGCTAAGTAAAGGGGAAGAAGGTTGGGAGAGGTAAAGGGAAGAAAGGAGTGGTCGGAGGGTCGTATTTAAAGGCAAACCCCAACCCAAGTACGGAGTATGTTTTTTTTATTACGAAAATTTGCATTTAAATTTGGATTACTTTTTTCTTCATAAAATTTTTTTTTAGGATAATGCTATGTTCACAAACTAAACTTACACAAAACTTACAATCTTTGCCACATCATCATATCATTTAATAAATAAAATAATAACAAATAAAATAACAAATCCCAACAAATAAATTACAGAGAAATACTGGTCACAGGCTCACAGCAGACTCCATTTCCATTGTCATATCGGAAATGGAGTTTTGGTGAGATGGAAATGGAGTCTGCTGTGAGCCTGTGACCAGTATTTCTCTGTAATTTATTTGTTGGGATTTGTTATTTTATTTGTTATTATTTTATTTATTAAATGATATGATGATGTGGCAAAGATTGTGAGTTTTGTGTAAGTTTAGTTTGTGAACATAGCATTATCCTTTTTTTATTGCACCTCCATATTTGGTTGATTTCAAAGTCAAAATAAATTCTAACGTCAGGGAAATTTGAAAAATGCAATTGAAGGGGGTGCACTAGAGTCGTGTCGGGCTTTGGGGTGTATTATAGGAAGAACGTATAATCGATATTCGGACCAGAACATCGTAAGATTATCAATTTGTTCAGGGTCAATGTCATAATATATACTACCTCCGTCCCAAAAAGATTTACACGTTTTGACTAAAGTTGAAATTAAGGGAGGGATAATTTTGTGTTGACTTTCCAAAAATACCCTTGATGTGATGGGTAAAAGTAGGATGTGATGTGTAGATTATTAGGAAAAAAGTATGATGTGATAGGTAGATTTTGAAAAAGTAAAGGGTAAAAGTGGTTTTTTAATAGAAATGGGTAAGAAATTGTGGGACACAATTTTATTGAAAGGTGTAAATCTTTTTTGGACGGAGGGAGTATGACATTGGAAACGAGTGCCAATATGCTCCCTATGTTCCAAAGTGTTTGTCATGTTACACAAAATAAACAAAAATTTTATGTTTTTTCAATTCATTTTATTTAAATATCGATAAAAATAAAAATAAAATTTACATATTTAAATACTACATCAAAAAATTCTTTAAAACAAGAAGTAACAAAAATATTTTATTTTATAAAATAAACGGTGAGAAGGTAGGAATAAATTCGCAATAAAATCATGCTAACAAACACAATAAAGTACTCAATAGGTTCATGCATCATTTCCATATAAGTTCTACTTCCTCCGTTCTTAAAAACACTTCCTCTTTCATTTTTTTCACTTCCAACAAAACACTTCCACTTTTTATTAAAAAACCACTTTTACCCTTACTTTTTCATACACTACCTATCACATCATACTTTTTCTCTAATAATCTATCCATTACATCTTACTTTTACCCATCACATCAGGGGCAAAATTGGAAGTCAACTATAATTTAACACTCTTATTTTCGCTCCAAGTCAAAATAAGAAGTCTTTTTACAAACAGAGGGAGTAACACTTTCTGCTAAACAGAGGTAATACTACGTAATTACGATGAAGGGTTTTGCATTACTTTAATGCTTAAGTTCTGATTGGTGAATTTTAAATTCTTGATATGAATTCTAAAATACGGAGTATAAAAGAAGGAAGAGTAGTGGGGTTTCGCTGATACTCGCCAACAGTGTCACTGCGTTTTTGGAATACATCCGGTACTCTAATCGAAAAATTGATGTTTTCTACACCCAACCCGCCCTCGAAAACCCTACCCCCACCTCTACGCTCTACCCCACCCCAACTCGGAAAAAAAGCTTAATTCTTTAGGTTAGCCGCCATTCAACTCGCAAATACCAACTTCACAATTTACTCTTTCTTCCACATGTGGGTTTGAATTATTACGTAATGGACCATGCTACACTTACACCAAAAAACGTACCCTATTTACACACCACAGTTATGCATAAACATTTTGATGATTTACACCGATACAAGTGTTGGTGCGTTAACAAAAATTTACATGGACACAAAGTGTTGGTGCGTCAATAAAAATTAGTTTTACACCAACACAAAATATTAGTGTAAACCTGTGGGTTACAAATTGGGGTATAAAT